GGAAGAGTACAGGTAGGAGTCGAAGGGCATGTTGTCTGCTTGCTGGACTGTACACATCATCCCTTTTGTCTAGCGCATAGTCCCTTGCAACCAATCTCGCCCTTCTCAACCATCTCTTACGCATCTCCCTCCACATACGTCTTGATGCGCCAGTCGTAGACAAATCTTGTAGTGAGCACATCCAGATTTGCCTCCTGTGGTGTCAACTTCTCGATGACATCCATCCTCATCAGCCTCTTCTCCTCTACTTTTCTCGCCACCTCATCCACCTCAGCTGATGGTTGTGGTGGAGTGTTGGTCAGTGGATGATTAGATTAGAGCTCCTCAGGTATTGCTCCATGGTCGAGGTCCTCGACGTCCTCCTGGCCCTCATCAATCATCAGCGTCTCTACATCCACCACCTCGTCCAAATGATAGAGATCCTCTCCAGCAATATGGACACGCTCCACCCTTCTCTCAATCATAGTTGATCTTGAGGCTGACGATGATTGGCCTTCTAGTTCAGGTTCTGTAATCCTCAACCTTTTGCTGTCCGGCTCAACTCTCACTGCTGATGAAGGTGGTGGGAGCTTTCGCAAAACTCTCCCTTCAGGAGGCACACTTTCTTCTTCTTCCCATGGGAGTGGTGGAATCACCATGGGAACATCTCCTCCTGGGCCCCTACCCTCAGACTGTTCACCAGGAGCTGGGGGTGTAGCAATTCCTGTATTGGGCTCATCAATCTGCGGGCACTTGGCGCTGGTAGACCTTCAGCAGCACTGTGGAGCTCTCTCTCCTGCATGCTCAGCCACACCTTCCTTTGATTGGGCATATCTCTTCACCTCCTCTGCATCTTCGTCCTTGTACTTGAAGAACACGGACTCCAGGGCAGGCATTGCATCTGTCCTCAATGGGATACCTGTCACAGCCCTCTTGGTGGGAATGATGCGTCCACCAAAATTGGTCTGGTACTCCGAACTGGCCGTCTCAAAGTTCTGGTAGTAGCTTAGGAACCCTGTCCACGGTCTGTTGACCCTTCTGATGGATCTGGTCAACATGATCTGGCTCCCGTCACCCACAATCCAGGCATCCTGTCCATCAGTCTTCCCCAGAAAAATTGACATCCTCCATCGTGGATTCCCTTTACCACTTTGCGGGCGTACATAGGCATACACTGGGCAACCGAAGGGAACAATAGCTCCATCATATGTCCTTCCATGTGCCAGTTCGTAGCTGGTGATGCCCTTGGTGGCCTGATATCGATTCAACAACTCCACAATGTATGGTTTGTATTGTAAGCCAGACCCGTCTTCTCGCCAACATCGGACATCAAGGTACAGGCGAGTCAACGTACACGCTGTATTGCATTCTCAGCCAAACTGTTCCCTGCCGAGCCACGGACCTTGGTCGTGTAGAGCCTTGTCCTGAGCCGCATTGAATGTCTGCTGTTCAGTACGACCCGCAGCAGCGATCTCATGGTTGGCTCATTGTCAGCGTACAGGCCCACTTCCACATGTCCAAGGCCTGGAATGACATGATCTCCCGGGCCATCAGGCTGAGTTGTCCCTTCGACTTCAACGGGACTGAACCAAGCACCTGTCTGGCATGATCAACCACAATGCAGGCTTCAGCTCCCTGATCCTCAATTCTTCAGCTTCCTTGGCCTCATCTTCTCCATACAGATCTATGACTGCCTCCTCCTCTAGTTGGCCTCGATCTCGGGGTTGTGGATTCCTGTCGATCTCACCGGCCTTGGTGTAGCATAGATCCAGTGAAATGATCGGGACGCCGCTCAGCCTTGAAGCCCCTGTCCTTAGACGTCGATCAGGGCGTCCTCGATGCTTTAGACATGCTTCACACCAGGGTTGGTATGGGACATGTGTTAGACAATGTTTGTCCTGCTCCTCCTGTGAAGGCACCTTGATTCCCAGTTGGTCTTTGGGTTGTCGAGCCACTTGGAGCTGCGCGGTTGCCACCGCCTCGGCTGCTGCTTTGAGTTCCATCTCCTTCATGTGGCTCACCAAGCGCTGATAGCACTTTAAGCGGCTCCCTGATTGGCTCACGCCAAAGAAATTGCAGGCTGCTCGAAGTTGCCTTAGTGGACTCACCGATGTCAACTGAATTCCATTCACCATGATGTGGTCGGGCATACCTGGTCCAAGCGCCAGTTGAGCTTCCTGCACCACTCCTTCATCCGCCACCTCAACTCTCTCGTCCGGTGGCTCTTCAGCAGGAAGGTCAATGTTCTCCGCAGCTACTTCATGATCTCGAATCACCATCAGCTGCTCCTCCATATGTAGTCCAGTTTCCACCTCGAAGCCCAAATCCTCATCGCTCATGTCCTCCTCGGTGAGGATCGTGACCACCATGACATTCTCTGCGGCCCCTTCAATCACCTCCTCCTGATTGAGAACTCGGTGCAAGCCCTCACACATTTCCAGAAGCTGCCAACTCCCAGCAATCTTGGCCAAGGTTGTTCTCTTCCAGCTTGTTGTCGATGGGATGTCTCCCACATACTGCGGGTTCTGGAAGGTCTTCCCCAAATGGACTCCAATCCACCTGTCTTCAACCTTCTTCCAGCCCACTTAATACTTGATCTTCTCCTCAAGGTCATCCTTCAACTTGGCCTCGAGTGCACGAACGATCTGGGGCTCGGCTGAGATTGTCCTGACAGCCCCTCAGCTACCAAACTCTTGCTCTGTAGGCGTAGAGGGATCCTCATCCCCCGCTCCCCCATGCCATACACCAGTGAATGGTCCAAAATTCCCCATCCACTCTCCATCAGCCTCCCAAATGAAAGGATAGGCTGGGTAATGCCACTTGAGAAATGAGCTTTCTCGAAAACCTGAATTTCCTTCCCATTCTCCGCCTCGAAAACGAAGCAGACACTCTTGTAGCCATCGATGGCGATCTTCTCACCCTGGGCGTCCTGCAGCATTGGTCCATCCTCCTCAATCTCCACTCCAGCTGCCAGGAACGAAGTTGGAAGCACCGTAGCATCGGCTCCTGAGTCCACAATGATTGAACAGGGCTCTTGGGAGCTCTGAACCCTGCTCCCTTCACGCACCATCATGATGTTCAGCTCCTTCTCAACCTCTTCCTCGAAGTTGCCATAGTCCAGGTGGTAGAACTGAATCATTCGCACCTGGCCGTCATGCACACCGCCTCGTAGATCAAAGATCAAAGGCTCGTGAAACTGAATCCACCTCCACAATCCTCTTCACAGCAGCAGTCTTTGCTGTAGTGGCCTGGCTCCCACTCGTTGACGTCCAAGTTGATGAAGCGTCCCCTTGACTCTGCTGCTGTCGTACTCGCCAACAATCACGCGCAAGATACCCTGGTTTGCTGCAGGTAAAGCAAGTCTTGACTGGTCCTCCATCTCCCTTACCTTTTTGGCCCTTCTGTCCATCACCTTTGGCGTTCCCTTTCTGCTGACTCTTGCCCTGGCCATAGTCCTGGCCTTTCTGTTGGCCTTTTCCTTTCCCTTTTGGGTTCTTGCCATCACTCTTTCCCTTGCCCTTGACATTGATGTATATAGTTGTCCTTGCTCTTGCCCTTGCTCTTCCCTTTATCGCCCTTTTGCCCAATGCGGTCAATCTCCATCGGTGCTGGGCCTCCTGAATCATGGCCAAGCATCATCGTTGAGCTCCACTTCAATGTGGCGTTGTCATACTGGGTGATTGCTTCACAAAGTCGATTGTAATCCTGAGTCTCGGCCACGTTGAGCTGGAGCCAAGTTTTCAGTTGACCGCTTAGCACTTCATCAAAATGGCGAATTTCAAACTGTCCTCAAGCTTGCTGCCGGTGCGCTCGTACTTGATGAAGGCCTCCTGCAAACGAAGAAGCTGAGCAAGAATGCCGCCTTTCTTCATGTCAAACTGGCTCCATTCCAAAATCATTGTCAGGAGTCCCAACGAGCGGTTCTTGCTCGCTGGTTCGAGCGATTGCACCAGCATTCGACAGGCCTCTAGGCCACTAGCTTCTTTCACCTGCTTGATCAGGAAGAGTGGGCACTGTCTAACAAGCAATGCCAACAGGGCGTAGAGAAAGGATCCTCTCTGCCTCTCCCCATCGGTCTGAATCGAGGGATCGATAGGCCGCTCTGGATGCTCTCTGATCTCCTTGAAGTCGTCCGTAAAGCCAGCATCCAGGAGGCTAAATATTGCTCTAGCCCCCAGCTAAAGTCCCTCGACATAGCCAGCTCATCCTCCCAAGATTTGGGCTCGAAATTGCTCGGTTTTGGGAGCACACGAAACCATGATCGATCTTCTGAGCTCCCTTTCTTCTGGATTGCCTCAGCTGCGAGCCTTGCGGCCACACTTGCAGATTCAGCTGCTTGGATCATGCGCATGGCCTCCTGCCCATCAACCTGTCCGGCAGTTGGGGATCCTGCAGGTGACGCGGCAGGCGAACCAAGGGCTTCACCATATGTCCCCATTGACCACCATTCTCTTCTACAACAACCTCCTTGGGGACCAACACGTAGCCAGGGATCTTGTACTTCAAGAAGTCACTAGCACCGATTGCCGAAATGGCTATGCTCGGCCCTCCCGGGTTAGGCTCCTGCTCGGCTTGAAGAATTCCCTGGAGCCTCCGGTGAAATCTACGAAGTCACCTTCCTTGGCTCCGCTACCATGCGGAATTCTTTTGGACCATAAAAGCTGCGTTGTGCATGGTACACTTCTCGATTGCGCATGTCTTTGACATGTCTTATGTGCACATCATGAGCACATGTTTTCTCAACACGCACATCTTTCATTTTGGGCGGCAAGCTTGGAATCATATGGAATCATTGCATGCCATGCATGCGTGCCCATTTCGAGAGAGAGAGAGAGAGAGTCTTGAAATCCAAGGCTTCGAAGGCTGAGAAAAGCTATCAAGCACAGTAACAAAGAGAAACAAAAGTGAAAGCTATCATCCTAGCTGCGTCCTGGGTGTTGGGAAAGGTGGAAAAAGAGCGTTTGGAGTGTTGCAAGATCAAAAGCCTGGAGCTTCCTTCACTATAAACATGCTGGCAATGCATCAGGTGTGTATTGTGAGGCAACTCTCATGCCGCTCGAAAGCTTGGTTACCTGCCCATGATCCACTGATGTAAGGAGCTACAGTAAGTTCAATCAAGCAGTGTGAATGTAAATGTGTGAATTGTTCCTCTCTGAATGCGTTTTGCACCTTAGTGAGCGGTTGCTGATAAGCTGCAAGTTCTCCCTGCAAGGAAGACATCCACCGCCGACCAAGCTTTGGTATGTTGTGCCAGCTGCTCCTCAAGGGCGTGTTTTCCAACTACAGTGCAACACAATCAGCCTGAGCGGCAAAACACAGGCCTGCAAAACATCACTTCACAGCTCGTGATAAAGGCTTTGAAAGACCGCAGGCTATGTCCTATTTACTTGATTCTGTTCCTTTTAGTGATGAATAGTATAGGTTGCTCTGATTCTCAGTTGCTTTCATCTTTGTCTTAGCATCTCAACGGTGGACGAGGCCCAAATAAAGAGCTCCAAAGGTCAGTGAGGCCCAGGTCTCTGCTTGCACATCTTGGCAGGCTAGGCTTGCATGGTACTGGTACTGGGACGCTGTATGGTCTACCTAAGGCACATCAAAATTAGTTCCCCCCGGCTTGATATCTCAGCAGGCTGTGTGGGCATAGGTGGCAAACATGCTACAGGCGTCTCACCAAAATATCAGGGACACACTATCACAGAGGCAGACCACATTCCTTTTTGTCGACGTGCCCCATATGGGCCAGGCATGGGCGGTCGCCATGACCCGTGGAAAACCAGCAAATTGCTTCGCAATTTGGTGCTACCAAAGTTGCACCCCAGCTGAATTTAGAACTTGAACTGAGACATGTCTGGTTGAATCACGGTCGAAAAAAATTTTCAAAATACGTGTGACTGACATTGACTCAAAGCTCCAATCTGACGTGACTCTAACCATCGATCACCTTTTCTTCAAAAAGGCAGCCAGAAATAGACCTGATACGCTCGGGCCAGCATATCTGCAAGCCATGAAACGAACGTGAAAAGCGGAAGAAAGTAAAGAAGCATCACAAAATATACGATTCCAATCCCAGTTCCAGCGAAGCTCAAAAGCAGCTGCAAAGTGTACGAAAATGAGTCTTTCCATTGCACTTCCAAGAATACTCAAGTTACACGTGCACATTGTCGATTCAAGGTCTAAGGATCAAACTGTTTGAGGCTTTGATTGCTCTTCCCTTCTGTCATGCAGGACCTTGGTCAAGCTCATGACATGCCAAACGGGAAAGCACCCAAAACTCATAGCAACTTGGGCCTGTGCGAGTTTCTAGTGATACACCAATTGCCAAAGCAAGTGCATGGACTTCATCTCGCAGGGTGTCAACACCTGGTGAGCATCACCAAAATTTAGATGTGGGACGGTTGACACTACCGGCTCCCAGGGCATACTCAAGCCCTTTGTACAAACGCTGCTTTGGGCAAAATAGAGAAATACAGCTTTCTACAAATGAACCTAGGAACCAAATGAATACTGCGAGCGCTTCTTCAATGAAGCTCCCCCAACAGCCTTTAGGGCGGGGGGAGCTTCTTTGAAGTAAGAGAAGGCTACAAAACAGAAAAAAATTGAAGAAGTGTGATCCACCTGTCTCAACAAGCTCCATGCGGCGATCTATGCTCTGCTCTAGCATCGCTATTTGCCGGTGACCCTGCGACGGGTCGTCTTGGTATTCAAAAGAGAGGCATGACTCCGTCTAAATCGAAAACTGTTCTCATATGTGCAGCCTCCTTTTCGGAGCGGCGCAATTCGCAATGGACTGCCATAATGTCTTTGGCTTTGGCGGTCCCTATCACCTGCGCTCCACACACTCCACTACACTGACGCTTAAGACATTGGAAAAACCAAAACGATGCAGTACCGTCGCAAAAATGAATGCAGAAGCTAGGCTTGCAAAAACATTTTGCTCTGGTGCTAGTTCATTGCTGGCCTTCAAGAGTCCTCCAACAAACTCTGAGGCATCAAGGCAACCACTGCCGTCGTAGTCCAGAATTCTAGCAACAAGGGCACTGCAGCGCAATGATTTTTTTCCATTCCATGTAATCCTTGCATTACGCTGTTCAAGCTCCCACTCTGCTGAGCCAAAAAGAAGTTCTGAGAGATCCCGGCGTGAAGAGGTATTCTGCTTCATTCGGGTCTATACCGATCTCCTCAAAATACCTGCAGGGCCGCCTAGCGCTTGAGTCGTCTGGTTTGAAAATTTGAGGCAAAAATTAGGCCAGCATAGACCACAGATAGCAAAAAAACAACTATGTGGACCAAAGCGCACCTTGCCATACATCCGGCAGCAGCACCAGCACAGAAGCTCCAAGCAGCAGCAGCCTGCAGCAGCACCAGCGCCCAAGCACCAGCACCAGCGCACACAGCAGCACCCTGCAGCGGCTCCAGCACCCAAGCTTTCAAGGAGCCCCCAAGCTCCCAAGCGCACACAGCCAGCAACCTGCAGCGGCACCCGCACAAGCTCCCAAGCGCACCCCAAGCGCATACAGCAGCGGCACCAGCACCCAAGCTCGAAAACGCAAACATGGAGCTCTTCCTATGCTTGTCCCAGATTGGCCAATTGGCCAAATCCGGGCTTGAGGAAGTGACTTGGACACTTTGGGCTGCTCGATCTGTTGAAGAAACTCGTCTTTGGTGAGAACCTGAGTGTGTCTGAGGCCAAGGATATGCACATGGGCACTGTTCACTCACTTTAAGCACACAATTGATTTCAACTCATACTAGATGTGGCTACGAGAGCAAATTCATCTAAAAGCTATTTGGAAATATAAATTCTAACGCTTGCAGCATGATCTGTTTCATGTGCCTGTGCATGGCTTACGCCAATTGTAGTTCAAGGAGCCCCATCTTGATCACAATCACCGTCTAGAAAGACCTAAGATACATGCACAAATAGCTATATATATATAAGTACAGGTGGAACTAACGAACTCGAATGAAGTCAATCTGCTGTAATGGCTTGCTTCTCATCTGACCTTGTAAATCTTCTCGTAGGCTTTCCGAAGGTCTTCAAGCCTGGATGCGTTGCATCGAATGCAAGAGTACTGAAGGAGTCTTATTCATTCTACTGTAACTTACAGTATTCTGCATCAAGGCTTTTTGACCAAAACATTAGAATCATATTAGTCTTCTCTGTGTAAAGGTCCTCAATGTACAGGAATGCTGAGGCCATCACCGTTTCTCTGCTGACTTCAACTTGCTCTGGTCAGCCTAAGCTGTGGAGACTGACGCGTCCTACTTGGAAAAAGACCTTTTCCGCTTGTGAGCCTCATCCAATGTGCTTTCCACAATGACCGCAATCATCACATTGAGAATGGCAAAGGTGGTGACCTCATACATAACGGACAAACACGGAATTCGTCTTCGTGTGTCGCCTATAGCTTGTGAGGCGTTGTGAAAAAGCACATTGGCAAATGACATTAGCGACAAGCAAGAATGAGGCTGAAACGTGAAGGTACAAAATGAAGAAACCGGCAGACCAAGGCTGAGTCTTCATCACCTTGTCAAATCATCATCTGCCCAAAGCAAATCAAATGAAAGCGAATGGGACCACAGGCCTCTCTGGCGATGTCTGCCCAGCCCTCCGTGGTGGTCGCTTGAAAAAGAGTTAGCATGCTCCTGCACAAGCAAGAAGAGTCAAGACGCATGACTATTGTGAACGACAGATCCCATACAGTACTAATCTTTAAAGAGCCATGGCAATTGAAGCTAGTGTGCTCCACTTTGTGAAGCGCTAAATGTCCATTGCTCTTCTAGCAGCATGGGGTACCATGCACCTGCCTATCAACTTGCTTTAATCTCAGTTTTGCAATCCAGCAGCACCAAACCTAAATTTGAAATCTTTTCACATGTGCACAATCAGCTTTCCTAATATCTCAGTTGGCACAAGTCTAAACTTGAGTTCAACCTATAGATATGCAATTTGTATCAATTTGGTTCATCCCAGGAAACAAATTTCAGAAACAAGGCCGGCAGCAGAAGCAAGAGCAATGACTTTGCAAGCGGTCGTCGCTCGGTCCCTGAATCTGAACAGCAGCGAAAGTGAAATAACAACAAACATCAATATGTCCGAGCATGTGATCTTTGGATGCCTAGGCCCCGCTATTTATGCATCAAGGAAAAACTTGGCAGTGTGCCAACCAGCGTTCCCTGAGTTGAGATCAATCAACTCCTGCCTTATCACAGACCCGAACCACTTATTGATCTCACCATTACCTGGCGTGCCAAAGCGGAAGAGAACTCCTGGTTAAGGATCTACTCTGTGAAAAATTTGGGTAATGCATCCAGATGATTGTATTACATATACATACTACCTGAGAAAGGAGAGGACGAAAGCCAGCGAGAGACCAATATGGTAGTGCAAGACTGGGAGGAAAAAATAGCGGAGTACTTATTGTCGAATGCCTGTAGCTTTCGTGGAGCTTGTATCAACGTGGAGTAGATCAAGATTGGAGCACAGCATGAAGTGTTTAATGTTTTAGGTTTTCTCGATTTTCCTGGCGCGGTGCTCTGGAGGGTCCCTGTTTGGTGGTCTACTTGAGAATCCGTATAAAAATAAACGTCAGTGAAGACCAGGCGAAGGATGCCCGAAAGGTGGATTTTGGTTGTGTTTCGGGCATCGTGCATCAATGCGAAGCCCTATAAAGAGCAGGGTTGGGAGAAAAAAAGAGGAGAGCACTCATTCTTGAATGGCTGTAGTTTTCGTGGAGCTGGTATCACTGCGACGTAGATGAAGATCGGAGCACAGCATGAATGCCCGAAATGGTTTTTGCGGTTGTGTTGAAATGTGTTTCGGGTATCGTGCATCAATGCGAAGCCCTATAGAGAGCAAGGCTGGGAGGAAAAATACCAGAGCACCTATAGTTGAAAACTTGTAGCTTCGTGGAGCTGGTATCACTGCGACTGAGATCAAGATCGGTGCACAGCATGAAGTGTTGATGCTTCTCCTCTTGCGGCGCTCTTATCCCCAAGCCTCTACCTCGCCCAACTGGACATGCTCACATCGTTCGCTCCCAGGGCGTTCACTCTTGGTTGCTTGGTCCTTCTTGGTATGATCAGAGCTACACAATCCCTATGCCCTGCTCTGGACTAGAAAAATGTCTCCAAATCACTTCATTATGCTAATGATGCACTACTTGTCATATTGCATCGCTCGCATCACCAAACTTCATTTTCACTGCTTTTCTGACCCTCGCTTTAGAGCGCTATCCCCCACCAAGCTCCGGGTTCACCCTCTCAAATGGTGCCTTTTCGCGCCCTCCCCCCCAACACCCCTTACTCACTTCGTTCGCTCTAAGAGCTCAAGCCTAGCCTATCGGCTGGCTTTCGTAATTAATTTGTTGCCGTATATTTCAATTAAGCAATCATTGGTCCATAATTCACGATGTCAAGACGCCACGCCCAAGCAAAGAAGGGTTCGTGGTCAAAACGAGCCCCAAAATGGTGCAGTCTAGGTAAAGAAAGCTATTTTCCTTCAACCAACCATCCACAAGTCCGCATTGCACCAGCCATGCACAGCTTGAACTCGAACCGGCGAGGAATAACAATGCCTATCTAAGAGAAGAAAAACCGAGTGGCTGCAAGTGCCTGGGTCTGCTGCCTGACCGATCAAGCGTGTCGAGACAATGCTGAAAATGTAGATGACAATGGCCAACAGCACCCACCTGAACACAAAAAATGTGGAAAAACTGGAGTTCATGAAATGAGGATAAAGGCAGAAGCTCATGAAATTAATGAGCAATCGACGTCCAAACCAGCGTCCATGCCGCATTCAAAATGCCACGGACAAGTTTCCAAAGCCCGCCCAGCACACGCAGGAGCCTCCAGCACTTTCTGAGCCAAATCCGAATGAGAACCGCTTCCATGGTGAGAATGGAAGAAGACTGAACGTGCTATTTAATGAATGCCAACCGATCAAACCAAAATCTGTTCGCCTGAAAACGCGAATCACCCTGATGAGCCGCAGCAAACGTAGATATGAAAAGCTACCCAGCTCCGTAGCATTCCTGGCACGTGAAAGAAGACATGCGCCGAAAGCTAAGGCTTGAGAAGGAATTTGACGTTCTTGTGCCCCTACCTCAAAATGATGGTCACGATATTGTCCACCTCGATATCCAGAAATGTATTATCGAAGTTATCGACACATGAGCTCTTAAACTTGTGAAACACTAGAAGTGTTTGCAGGCAGGCAACTATTGAAAATGTCACTACAAAACTAACCATGAATGATGAACAGCTGAGGTCATTACAGCACATACTTCAAGCAAGGCAACAATCACAACCAAGGCAATTCGAGACTCTGACAATTGATACTGCCACAATGAGCAAATCAAATAAGTTCCTGGCACCAATATGAATTTCCTCTATGACTCCGTGTCATGCAGGGCAGGATCATTCGGTGGTCAGCAGGAGTTTCGCAGAACAATATATATAAAGCGCACCAGCCACTGTAGAAGAACTTTTTGGCAGGAATAGTCGCCTCAGCACTGGTTTTGTTGGATCAATACTTGAGGTGATGGAAATTATCAGCCAAGAGCCTGACAATCAATCGAAGCATCAATTCAATGGTGAATATGACAGAAAAGAGAATCTGACAAGGATTCAATCAATTCTGCTGCCACCGCACCACACCGCACCGCACCACATACTTTCAAGACAACACACCACCATGGAACGAGCTGAGAGTGATTGAAATTGTATGGCCCGCCCCACCTCCACAGCTGCCCATCCTGACTGATCCACTCTTTGCCCATCCTGCACTACTCCTGGATTTGCATCCACTTCTATTCCCATGTAGACCTGGGCAGTGTTGGACACAGCAAAGCAACTCAAAGCGAAGCAAAGCTGCAGAGCAAAATTGACACATCGTCCTTCATCTTCCTGGGTGCTCCGCCGCATTGGCTGTGATGATAAAGGCCACTGTCAGGACGAAGGGGCGGCTGCGAACAACCTCATCCGGTCTCCTAGAGAGCACTGAACATTATCATGAAGCATTTCAAACAACTTTCACCTTTCACCGCGATACCGATACCTTCTTGTTCCGAGCCCCTAAACTTGACTAAGGCGTCAGCTGCCTGAAGTGACTTCCGAGTGCCAGTGGCACAAACCTGGCTTGATCTTCAACACGCTGGCTCTTTTCGAGTCTGCGCAAGATCTACTGCGGCACTACAGCCCGTAAAATGCCAAAATCAAAAAAGAAACGTAGAAAAAGAAGTGTCCATGGAATCGGAATCAAACTTGGCCAGCCACTTTGGGGATCGTGACGCCAAGTCAGCTTCAAAGCGAGAGAAAATGATCGACATCGAAAGCAGTTTATAGAATAGAATCGAACCAATTTTGTTTAGCCGGGGGGGGTAGGCTGGTAGACGATGGAGCTGGTAACTAGAGGTAGCTAGTAGAGGCAAGGTAGCTACTATCTACTAGCGACTAGTAAGCTACTACCCAGGACACAGGATAGTTCACGCTTCTTCAAGGAAGCTCCCCCCTCAGGCGGGGGGGAGCTTACTTGAAGAAGCGTTTGCACTAAGGATTAGGGAAACTTATATTGTATAGGTTTCCCAAAAACCTAAGCGCCTAAGAACAGGTTCGATCATGCGACTATATATATAGTCTGTGTCCTTGGATGTAGTAGTCACATTTTCGCTTTAGCAGCGGCTCACACAAGCTACATCCCCAAAAAAGACTCCAAGAAACCCTGGAACCGCTGAAAGACCAACTGAACCGCTCACCTTTCTCAGGCATCCAGGGTCTTTCTGCGCTTCAGCATCATCTGCTGCTTCAACTGCTGCTTGGACTTGCAACACATGAGTGGCTTCATCCTAAGTTTCTTGCGTTTCAAATGAAAAACACTCAGTCATCACTCCTTATCATTTAGGTCGGATATTACAATGAATGAACGCCGGATTCCAAGTGCAAGGACTGAAAACAAACCAAACACCTGTGACGATGCATCAAACAGAATAAAAATTGTCTGAAACTCTGACAAGGTTCAGCAAGGGATACCCGCCGTCTAGCGGTTCCTTTTGCTTGTTTTGCCTGATGCCAACACTCAAAGGGAACAATTTCAGGCGCGCAACATCTGCCAAGTGTCGCACAAGTTCATCGTCCTCATCGGCATGTTCGCCGCTGCCTCATTTGCAAGTCAAAGGCCCTCAACACCGGGCCAGAAGCTGACGATTCTTCACAGGATATTCCAGGATTCAAACTGCTGGTTGAACTGGAACTTGAGCTGAACGAAGCTGAAGCTCTTCTACTTATACCTCGAATAGAATTTGGGACCAAAGGCACCAACGAAAGCTAGCACATAAACATGACCGTTGCCAATGGCATACATTCGTACAAATTCTTGACACTTTGGTCACTATGCTCTGGTTGTCCTGGTAATCCTGCTGATGGAGTCACACTGAGCATGCCTGGGTGAACGGAAAGGTGGTCTACTACCGTACCCCACACCAACACCGCAGCTGCGTCACACTTGAAGCCACACAACTGCTTTGGAGACATTACAAACGACTGGCATCCAAGTAAAGTTCCGAGACTGTTCCCAAAGGCACCTCCACTCACCGCATGTGTGGGGTTTGCAGGGCAAAAGCCGATGCTGCCTTTAAAACAAATTGCAAAATCCGCAGTGCGTCACAGAAACAAGCCTCAAAACAGCAGTGAGTAACAATGCCTCTGCAGCATCCAGCATTTCATGCCCTACATTTCCCCATTCCACACATGGACTTGGAGCCGGAACCGAAAACAATGGAATCAAAAACAAATCAATTCTGACTTTACATGTTTGCGTGATGTTTGACAACTCGACAACTTTACTATACATGTTGGTTTCAGAAAACATGTTGAAAAATGCCTGTGTGGAATCTATATATCTCAAGTCCCCGCTGTCAAGGGTGGAAAATATGTCATCTATAAAAACTCAGTGGTGATGGTGGTGGTGGTGGTGGTCTTACAAACAACATTGTCTGCATCAAACCAACTTAACAGACCCTTTATGATCTCTTGGTTGTTTCCCTGCCATACCCAAAAAAAAATACCTGGACGGACGATTAGCCCCCCGCCAATCGACAGGGGGTTTTAGGGTAAAGGTGTTTGCACTTGCATGGGTTTGCTGCAAACTTGGTCATTGTTGAATTTTTGAACAGTAAAGTGGAAACGCCTGATGTTGTACAAATTCCGTCAACCACTCGCAAAAACGATGCTAAAGATTGAAAAACCGGATGTCCATGTTACATTTTTCCTCCCGGGACTTGAGCACCCCGCAAAAAGTCTCTTGGGGCAAAGCATTGGGCGAAAGATTGCACACACCGCACAAACGACAAACTTTGCGCTACGCTCTCTTTCTTCAGCCAAACCAGGTGAGTCAAGCACAAGGTGCTTGACCGTGAAGATACACCCTGAGAAGCTGCAAAACGAAAGCCAGCGTTGTTTGTTCCGAGCACGTTGGTGGAAAATTTTGGTCTTGAACATAGAACACCATTGGACATTCGATGGGCATTTTTTTGCGCGCCATTCATGCAGGTGGAGCTGCCGTTCAGCAGAAGATGCACAGGTCAGCTTGTGCGATTTTTCTAGGGGGAGTCTCCTAAGGGCAAACAGCAACAAAACAAGCACAAAGCCCCAAAAACAAAACCAAAACACACAAAACCAAAAACCGAGCACGTTGGAGACTCTGCAATGTACATGCAAACGGTGAAGCCTGAGTGAAACGTGAAGACACCAAGTGAAACGATGGTTGGGCAGTGAATTAAAGCAAAAGGGCCACGGATGGGCCATCCGAGATGCGGTGCGAAGTGCTTGCTGGCATGTCATGACACTTGGTCAGTGGGCTTGCTTAGGCAGGCTGCGTCATCGAGCACTAATGAGCTGTATGTTCCCACTTATTTGTGGAATGGCAGTCAAAGAAGCACTTGAAGAGGCACGGGCAAACTAGTCGGGCAAAATGTGACAAACTGCGCTTAAGACTGATGCAACGATGTTGGCACGGGTGCCGATTTACGGCACTAGAGATGCTGGAAGGAGATTTTGGGCGAAGCTGAAGAAAGTTTTGACAGACATTGTTCATCTATGAAGAAGATGGTGAAATCAAGGCGACGGTTGCATGTCACGTTGATGACCTGCTTTTTGCCGCGAAGTCAGGATGTTTTTCAGCAGTATGTCGAAAGATTTTGGAAGCGTGTCAGAAAAGAATTTCCGATTTTGTGGATGTGAGATCGAGCAGGACGAACAGAGGAACATCAAGGTCACCTGCACTGCAACAGCAGAGAAGATCGAATCAGTGAAATACAGACCAGACTTGAAAAGAACAGATCTAGCAAATGATGCAGAAAACGCTCAACTACGGAGCGTAGTCGGATCCTTGTCCTGGGTTGCGCGTCAGGCAAGGCCAGACTAGCGGGAAGGCCACCATCAAGGACTTGCGCTACGCAACATGGCGGCATGGGACGCGCGTGAATTCTCACAGCGTGGACTGCACTTCAAGGCAGGAGCCATCAAATGGGAAGACTGTATCCCATGCACAGTCAGTGATGCTTCAGGGTCAAATGAACAGCAGATTGTGAAGGGGAAGCTTGAACCCTATAGATCTCAAACGGTGAGGATGACGCTGTAGGTCGACAAAGCATTTGTCGAACCCATGCAAGATGTCACAAAGATATCCAATCGGCGTGTATGCCCACGCCGCAGGCAGAATTCCTATGGTTTCAGGACAAACAAAAAAACCCAACACAACCAAACCCAACACAACACAAAAAAGGAAGGAGAGCAACCTGTAGTGCAACTCGAGGTGCCAGGTGGTCAAAAAGAGTGAAACAGGGGCAGTGAATTCAGCAAAAGCTCTCAGTGGTTCTTGTCCATCAATGAACTGTCAAGAGGATGAGCCAGACTGGCACATCCATTGGGCAGCTGCGCAGCGCTCGAAAGTGGATATTCATGCAACAGCTAGTTGAGTCCAAGGTTCTTTGCAGTCAGGCTCAGCGTAAGAGCATGAAGGAGACACCGAAAGCGAAGACAGTGCAATGCCATGGGCGAGCTCTCAAACACAAAAGAGGCAGAGGAGTTGCACCTCCTACTCCTCTCCACAAAGGGGAGGCACAAAGGCAGCAAGTCCAGACTCTACCGCCACGGCTCTTTACCGAGAGCAGAGTTTTTTTTTTTGCACGGGTAGGAGCGCTATGTGTGCCGAGAGACACAAGTCACCGAGTCGGGGGTTTCGTGAGATGAGCCTGACAACCAAGACAGGCAGCACAAGCCAAAACACCAACACAAAAAACACCAACCAAAACAACCAACAAGCCAGAACCAAGGGTCAGACTCAAAGTCCGTACGAGTCTAAATGAGCAAAAGGTGCAGAGAGGCCAACAGTGGTGAAACGGGGCAATGAATTCACAACCAGCCGCTCTCAGTGGAGGACGTCCAGGGCGAACTTGCCTTTTGACGCAATCTGCGCATGGGCAGGAGTGTATTCCTTCAGCGGTGCACTGCGTGTGGAAATGCCTGAGCATACTGAACCCGAGAATGGGGTGCACTACAGGTTCGGCCAGGTCCATGCAAAGCAAGGCACAGCACAACTTGCCCATGTGTTGGTCTCAAGAGTGCCACTCAAATTCGTTTTGCTTTTTGCTTTTGTTGGCCTGAGAGCTGGACAGTGCTACAGTGTACAGAATTATGAAACGGCGTCTCACTCTGCTTCACCTATTTTCGTGTTCATGGGGCCCTGCACGGATCCGCCGCATCATGCCTGGCCGCGTTTGAAAGATCTTGTCAGGTTTCCAATGCGACAAATTTGCAGCTCACTTTATGGGAGGAGGCCTTTCTCTCACTTCGTGCTTTCGCGCAGCACATCTTGCAGCACATCCTGCTCTGCTCTCGGTGAAGGTGATTGTCCTGTGGCACTGTCACCAGGTCTCGTGTGCTCCTGCCTCCCCCGCTGGAGGCGGTGACCTGCTTGCAGATGTTCTGCGAAGCGCAACCACTACGCTTATTACGACGTGTCGCGTCCAGTACGTGTACACGCAACCTACGCCACTACTACGCGCACGAACGAGCGAATCGAGACGACTCGAAAAAGCGAGTGCAACACAAGCTCCAGCAAACTTTTCACGCAAGACAGCTCTGGATCCGGTTCACCACCAAACCAAACAAGGTGACCTTTCTGTCAACTCTGTGGTGTTTTCTATCTTTACATTTCTATTCATCTGCCTTGCTTGCTCTTGTCGAGCCAAAACACAGCGATCCAAAAGCTGCTGTAGCAAATCGCTGTTCCAAACACTCTGTTCTGTTGCTACGACATGTTCATGTCATGTAGCTCAAAGATGAACACTTCCAGATATGCTTGTAGCATATGGAAACTCAAAACGTGCATGAACGGTGTCAACCATTGACGTCGTTCCACAAAACAAAATCCTCTCGATCTTGTTCATCCAGTTTTCGTATCAGCTTGGCTTGCCAAGCTGCAAAACATTTGAATTCACCTTTCGGTCTCAAAGACCTCATAGTTTGCCCTTTTTGTGACCCAAAGGCCAATGCAACCATTGAAACACATCTTCATATGCCAGCATCAGCATCAAATGGCCGCTGCTGGCCTTTCAACCTTTTCATACCCATGCAATGCCGCACCCTGCACCACAACGTGCCGCGAACAAGGATCTCCGATCCCACAGCTCAACAAGCGAAGCTTCAGAGGTCCAATGCTCGCGCCAGCACCAAACCATGGTCATTGACCATCGCCAAAACAGCCAAAGACCAAATGGTCAGACAGGAACCCAAAGCCACTGGCCAAATGGCCTGAATCCCCAACAAAGCAAGGGTGCCACACTGCTCATATGCTCCACCATATTTCCACACCCCCTTTTGGCATCTTGCTTATGCCCGCTTCTTCAAAATCCGCTTCTCCTTGGTTCCAGGGATGTAGACTGGAAGCTGCTGCTCATCGATCTTGCCCAACTGGGCTTCATAAGCCTGCACATAGCTGATGAAATCCTTGAATTGCCCTTTCATCGTAGTTGCTCGTGCCATCAACCATTTGCAATACTGCACATGATCTGCATTCTCCGATGATCGCAACTCCTCATACGAAAGCCGCTCAGATGCCACCTTGCCACACGTCATCAAGGTTGCTCCCCATGTCGGCAAATCTGCGATGCCTTCTGGAAAGGTGATGGTCACCATCTTTTCCCCAAGCTCCGGTGCTGGTGGCACAGGGATTGAAGCATAGGCGCCGATGCCCCTTGCCTTCGGCAAGATTCAATCTCATCGCCACGACGCTTCGGTGCATCCGTCATAGCCCCAAGCTCAGCAGACGATGAACCCTTTCCCATAGATGCTTTGGCAACAAGCATCGTGAGCATGCTCTGCTCTTCTTCAGTCAGACCAACAAGGTCAAACTGATCATCAGCTGCCATGGCTCGCACACTAACCGATGAGTGTTCTGCTGCAACCTTCAAACAAACCAACCGGAAAGACCCCAAAAGGAACCTCACCAGTCACTGCCACGCGATCAAACTCGCCAGTGCCCGATCACACAAGCTTGAGCGAGTATGTCTCACGCTCTTGGCTTTGCCAAACAAACAAAAACTGTCCTTCGATCCTTCGATCCTTCGACTTCCACTTTGTGAAGTACGCCAATGGCAAAAGCTTATCACATTATTAAAGCAAAGCAACACAAGCACCACAAGAAACCATACATGTATACACATACAAACAAACGTACACAAAGCTTATTATGCCTCTTATGTGTGTGTGGGTCACACC